TTTGGGGCGGGGCTTGTGCGGGTCTAACCAGAAAGGGGCGGGGCTTGGTGGGAATGGGCGTGGCCTCAGTGGGTGTCTTCATTTAGGGGCGGGGCTTGTGAGGGCGGGGCCAGAAGTGGGCGGGGCCTGTTGGTGGCCGATGGTTCCAGGGATGTTTCTGGGGATAATTTCAGGATGGTTTTGGGATATTTTGGGTCACTTTTGGGGCTTTTTGGGGTTTTGGTCTCCCAGGGCTCCCTCTGAGGTGGATTTCGAGGAGCGCTTTGGGGATTTTGGGGTTTTTTGGGGTTATTTTGGGTTATTTTGGGGTTATTTTGGGTTATTTGGGTTTGTGTGCTCAGGGATGTTTTTGAGCGTATTTTCAGGATAATTTTGGGTTAATTTTGGGATGTTTTGGGTCCCAGGGTTCTGTCTGAGGTGGATTTCGAGGAGCGCTTTGGGGTTATTTTGGGTTTTTTGGGGGTTTTTTGGGCTGTTGATGTTTAACGGCTCAGGGATGTTTTTGGGGATTATTCTGGGGTAATTTTGGGATATTTTGGGTCTGTTTTTCCCTGTTTAGGGTTCTCTCTGAGGTGGATTTCGAGGAGCGCTTTGGGTTATTTTGGGTTATTTTGGGTTATTTTGGGGTTATTTGGGTTTGTGTGCTCAGGGGATGTTTTGATGTATTTTTGGCTCAGTTTTTGGGTTAATTTTGGGTTGTTTTGGGTCTGGTTTTCCCTGTTTAGGGTTCTGTCTGAGGTGGATTTCGAGGAGCGCTTTGGGGCTATTTTGGGTTATTTTGGGGCTATTTTGGGGTTATTGGGGTTTGTGTGCTCAGGGATGTTTCTGGGGTTATTTTTATGATAATTTTGGGTCAATTTTGGGGTTTTTTTGCCCATTTAGGGTTCTGTCTGAGGTGGATTTCGAGGAGCGCTTTGGGGTTATTTTGGGTTATTTTGGGGTTATTTTGGGTTATTTTTGGGTTATTTTGGCTGTTGGTGTTTAACGGTTCAGGGGATGTTTTTGGGGATTATTTTGGGGTAATTTTGGGTTATTTTGGGTCTGTTTTTCCCCTCTCAGGGTTCTGTCTGAGGTGGATTTCGAGGAGCGCTTTGGGGTTTTTTGGGGTTTTTTGGCTGTTGATGTTTAACGGCTCAGGGATGTTTTTGGGGATTATTTTGGGGTAATTTTGGGTTATTTTGGGTCTGTTTTTCCCCTCTCAGGGTTCTGTCTGAGGTGGATTTCGAGGAGCGCTTTGGGGTTTTTTGGGGTTTTTTGGCTGTTGATGTTTAACGGCTCAGGGATGTTTTTGATGACAATTTTGGGTTATTTTGGGTCTGTTTCTCCCTGTTTAGGGTTCTGTCTGAGGTGGATTTCGAGGAGCGCTTCGCGGAGCTGCCCGAGTTCCGGCCCGAGGAGGTTCTCCCCTCCCCCACCCTGCAGGCCCTGGCCACCTCCCCCCGCACCATCCTGGGCAGCTACCGCAAGAAGCGCAAGAACTCCACAGGTGACCCAATGGGGGAGGGGAAATGGGAAATGGGAGAGATCTTCACCTTGGAGAGAGGTGGGGGATGGGAGACCCCAAAATGGAGTTGGGGACACTGCTGAATTTTGGGGTCCCCCTGATTTGGGGCTTGTCTCAAATTTTGGGCTCGTTTTGGGTCTGGTTTTGTTTATTGTGGGGCCAGTTTAGGTCTGGTTTTGTTGGTTTTGGGGTCGTTTCTGTTGATTTTTGGGGCTCCCTTTAGGGGAGGGGCTCTGGGGGTCTCCCTCCATTTTGGGGTCATTTTGGGTCTGGTTTTGCTGATTTTGGGGCCATTTTGGGGCCGGTTTTTGGGGCTCTCTTTGGGGGAGGGGCTTGGGGGTCTCCCTCCATTCTGGGGCCATTTTGGGTCTGCTTTTGCTGGGTTTGGGTCTGGTTTTGTTGGTGTTGGGGCCGTTTTTGCTGATTTCAGGGCCGTTTTGGGGCTGCTTTTGTTACTATTGGGGTCTGTTTTTGCTGATTTTGGGGCTTTTTTAGGGCTGGTTTTGCTGATTTTGGGGCCATTTTTTGGGTTTGGTTTTGTTGGTTTTTGGGCCATTTTGGGGCTGGTTTTGTTATTATTGGGGCCGTTTTTGCTGATTTCGGGGCTGTTTCGGGGCCGTTTTTTGGGGCTGTTTTTGCTGATTTTGGGCTCATTTTGGGGCTGGTTTTGTTGGTTTTTGGGCTGCTTTGGGGCCGTTTTTGCTGATTTTGGGCTCATTTTGGGTCTGGTTTTGCTGCTTTCGGGGCCGTTTCGGGGCCGTTTTTCGGGGCCGTTTTGGGGCCGTTTTTGCTGATTAGCGGGGCCTGAGGGGGCGGGGCTTTGGGGTAACTGGAATGGGTGGAGCTTGTGGTGGGCGTGGCCTGGGTGATGTCACCTTAAAGGGGGTGGAGCCTTGGGGGCGTGGCCTGAAGGGGTCGCTCGAAATGGGCGGGGCTTGGTGGGAGGAGCTTTAAAGGGGGTGGAGCCTCTGGTGGGCGTGGCCAGGGTTGGGTCGCTTTAAGGGGCGGGGCCTGAAAGGGTGGGAGGGAAGGGGGTGGAGCCTGTGGGTGTGGTCACCATAAAGGGGCGTGGCTTGTGAAGTCAATGAGCCGCGTTGTGGGCGGGGCTTTGAGAGTGGGAGGGGCCTCGGTGGGCGTGGCTATGCTAATGAGAACGTTACAATGAGTGGGTGGGGTTGATGGGTTTGTAGTGTGGGTTGATGTTATGCAAATGAGGAGGGCGTGGCCTGACCTCGGCCCCTCCCTGGGGAGGCTCTCGGGGTCCCCCCCGGCCCCTGACCCCCTGACCCCCCCCGGCGCAGGGGGCGAGGGCGAGGACGTGCTGGGGGAGCTGGAGTACGACAAGGTGCCCTTCTCGTCGCTGCGGCGCACGCTGGACCAGCGCCGCGCCCTCGTCATGCAGCTCTTCCAGGAGCACGGCTTCTTCCCCTCGGGTGAGCCCCGGGACGTCCTGGAATTCTTGTTAAACCACCCCAAAATTGTCCTGGAATTCTTGTTAAACCACCCCAAAATTATCCCGAAATTATCCCGAAATTGTCCCGGAATTGTCCTGGAATTGTCCTGGAATTATTGTTAAACCACCCCAAAATTGTCCTGAAATTACCCCGAAATTATCCCGGAATTGTCCTGAAATTATCCCAGAATTATCCTGAAATTGTCCTGGAATTATTGTTAAACCACCCCAAAATTGTCCTGAAGTTATCCTGGAATTATCCCGAAATTATCCCGGAATTATCCCGGAATTGTCCTGAAATTATCCCAGAATTATCCTGAAATTGTCCTGAAATTATCCTGGAACTGTCCTGGAATTATCCCAAAATTGTCCTGAAATTACCCCAAAATTGTTCTGGAATTATCCCGGAATTATCCCAAAATTGTCCTGAAATTATTGTTAAACCACCCCAAAATTGTCCTGGAATTATCCCGGAATTATCCCAAAATTGTCCTGAAATTACCCCAAAATTATCCCGGAATTGTCCCGGAATTATCCCAAAATTGTCCTGGAATTGTCCCAAAATTATCCCGAAATTGTCCTGAAATTATCCTGAAATTACCCCGGAATTGTCCTGGAATTATCCCGGAATTGTCTTGAAATTACCCCAAAATTGTCCTGAAATTACCCCAAAATTATCCCAGAATTGTCCTGAAATTAACCTGGAATTGCCCTGAAATTATCCTGGAATTATCCCAAAATTGTCCTGAAATTGTCCCAAAATTATCCCGGAATTATCCTGGAATTATCCCGAAATTGTCTTGGAATTGTCCCAAAATTATCTTGAAATTATCCAGAAATTGTCCTGAAATTACCCTGAAATTGTCCCAAAATTATCCTGAAATTACCCCAAAATTGTCCTGAAATTATTGTTAAACCACCCTGAAATTGTCCTTAAAGTACCCTGAAATTGTCCTGGAATTACCCCAAAATTATCCTGAAATTGTCCTGAAATTATCCCAAAATTGTCCTGGAATTGTCCTGGAATTACCCCAAAATTGTCCTGGAATTATCCTGGAATTATCCCGAAATTATCTCGGATGTCCCCACACTGTCCCTAAATCTCCCAAAATTGTCCCTAAATGTCCCCAAACTGTCCCCAAATGTCCTTAAATGTCCCCAAACTGTCTCTAATTGTCCCCAAATTGTCATTAATGTCCCCAAAATGTCCCTAAACTGTCTCTAAGTGTCCCTGAATGTCCTTAACTGTCCCCAAATGTCCCTAAATGTCCCCAAATTGTCATTAATGTCCCCAAATTGTCTCTAATTGTCCCCAAACTGTCCCTAAATCTCCCAAAATTGTCCCTAATTGTCCCCAAACTGTCCCAAATGTCCCCAAAATGTCCCTAAATGTCCCCTGGGTGTCTCTAAATGTCCTCAAGTGAACCTAAATGTCCCCAAACTGCCCCAAACTGTCTCTAATTGTCCCCCAAATGTCCCTAATTGTCTCTAATTGTCATTAATTGTCTCTAATTGTCCCCAGCCCAGGCCACGGCGGCGTTCCAGTCGCGCTTCCAGGACATTTTCCCCACCAAGCTCTGCCTGTCCCTGTCCCTGCCTGTCCCCAAACTGTCTCTAATTGTCATTAATTGTCTCTAATTGTCCCCAGCCCAGGCCACGGCCGCGTTCCAGTCCCGTTTCCAGGACATTTTCCCCACCAAGCTCTGCCTGTCCCTGTCCCTGCCTGTCCCCAAACTGTCTCTAATTGTCATTAATTGTCTCTAATTGTCATTAATTGTCATTAATTATCATTAATTGTCCCCAGCCCAGGCCACGGCCGCGTTCCAGTCCCGTTTCCAGGACATTTTCCCCACCAAGCTCTGCCTGTCCCCGTCCCTGCCTGTCCCCAAACTGTCCCTAATTGTCATTAATTGTCTCTAATTGTCTCTAATTGTCATTAATTATCATAATTGTCCTGGAATTATCCCGGAATTGTCTTGAAATTACCCCAAAATTGTCCTGAAATTACCCCAAAATTATCCCAGAATTGTCCTGAAATTAACCTGGAATTGCCCTGAAATTATCCTGGAATTATCCCAAAATTGTCCTGAAATTGTCCCAAAATTATCCCGGAATTATCCTGGAATTATCCCGAAATTGTCTTGGAATTGTCCCAAAATTATCTTGAAATTATCCAGAAATTGTCCTGAAATTACCCTGAAATTGTCCCAAAATTATCCCGGAATTATCCTGGAATTATCCCGAAATTATCCCAAAATTGTCCTGGAATTATCCCAAAATTGTCCTGAAATTGTCCTGGAATTACCCCAAAATTGTCCCGGAATTATCCCGGAATTATCCTGAAATGATCTTGAAATTGTCCCTAACTGTCCCCAAATGTCCCCACACTGTCCCTAAATCTCCCAAAATTGTCCCTAAATGTCCCCAAACTGTCCCCAAATGTCCTTAAATGTCCCTAAACTGTCTTTAATTGTCCCCAAATTGTCATTAATGTCCCCAAATTGTCATTAATGTCCCCAAACTGTCCCAAATGTCCCCAAAATGTCTCTAAATGTCCCCTGGGTGTCTCTAAATGTCCTCAAGTGAACCTAAATGTCCCCAAATGTCCCCAAACTGCCCCAAACTGTCTCTAATGAAATTATCCTGGAATTATCCCAAAATTGTCCTGGAATTATCCCGGAATTGTCTTGGAATTGTCCCAAAATGATCTTGAAATTATCCAGAAATTGTCCTGAAATTACCCTGAAATTGTCCCAAAATTATCCTGAAATTACCCCAAAATTGTCCTGAAATTATTGTTAAACCACCCTGAAATTGTCCTTAAAGTACCCTGAAATTGTCCTGGAATTACCCCAAAACTGTCCTGAAATTATCCCGGAATTGTCCCGAAATTATCCCGGAATTGTCCCGAAATTATCCCAAAATTATCCTGAAATTGTCCTGGAATTACCCCAAAATTGTCCCGGAATTATCCCGGAATTATCCTGAAATGATCTTGAAATTGTCCCTAAATGTCCCCAAATGTCCCCACACTGTCCCTAAATCTCCCAAAATTGTCCCTAAATGTCCCCAAACTGTCCCCAAATGTCCTTAAATGTCCCTAAACTGTCTTTAATTGTCCCCAAATTGTCATTAATGTCCCCAAATTGTCATTAATGTCCCCAAATTGTCATTAATGTCCCCAAATTGTCATTAATGTCCCCATGTCCCCAAACTGTCCCCAAATGTCCTTAAATGTCCCTAAACTGTCTTTAATTGTCCCCAAATTGTCATTAATGTCCCCAAAATGTCCCTAAACTGTCTCTAAGTGTCCCTGAATGTCCTTAACTGTCCCCAAATGTCCCTAAATGTCCCCAAACTGTCTCTAATTGTCCCCCAAATGTCCCTAATTGTCCCTAATTGTCTCTAATTGTCCCTAATTATCATTAATTGTCCCTAATTGTCCCCAGCCCAGGCCACGGCGGCGTTCCAGTCGCGCTTCCAGGACATTTTCCCCACCAAGCTCTGCCTGTCCCTGTCCCTGCCTGTCCCCAAACTGTCTCTAATTGTCATTAATTATCATTAATTGTCCCCAGCCCAGGCCACGGCGGCGTTCCAGTCGCCTTTCCAGGACATTTTCCCCACCAAGCTCTGCCTGTCCCTGGCCCTGCCTGTCCCCAAACTGTCTCTAATTGTCATTAATTATCATTAATTGTCCCCAGCCCAGGCCACGGCGGCGTTCCAGTCGCCTTTCCAGGACATTTTCCCCACCAAGCTCTGCCTGTCCCCGTCCCTGCCTGTCCCCAAACTGTCCCTAATTGTCATTAATTGTCTCTAATTGTCTCTAATTGTCATTAATTATCATTAATTGTCCCCAGCCCAGGCCACGGCCGCGTTCCAGTCGCGCTTCCAGGACATTTTCCCCACCAAGCTCTGCCTGCAGCTCAAGATCCGCGAGGTTCGCCAGAAGATCATGCAGGCGGCCACGCCCACCGAGCCGGCCCCGCCCACCGAGCCCGACGGCCCCGCCCCCTCCGCCGCCGA